AACCTTTTTTGTTGTTATATACCTGGATGACTGAGAAAACAAACTTTGTGTTTTTGAAACCATTAGTGAAAAGGCCAGACTTCAGGGGTATCTGATGCAGGCTTGAAACACAAGAGTCTGGGTGGCTTCTGGGTAATACCAGATGGCTAGGCCTCAGACTGACGAAGCCTCTTGGATGAGGGGCGAAACGTTTCTTTTTAACAAAAAAAACGAAGTCCAGATGACATGATTCAACCTTTTTTGTTAACCAATAGTTTAGTTTTTCCTGTGACTTATTTGCAGTATGATAAATGGTAGGAGCATAATATACGCTCCCAATGTTTTGCTGGTATTTTTTTTTTTTTGTTGTTGTAAATAATTACCTTTTTTTTTTGCGGTTTTATTTATTTATTTATTTCCGTATCTTGAGATCTATGACGTCATCAAATACTCGAATTCTACTCGGGTTTTATTATGTTAATGTCGAGTTTAAAAATTATATACTCGTTCAATCCCTACTTCTGACATTGATGCCCAACACATATTTTGTGCACTAACAGACTGCATTAGATGGTTGTTTAAAACTTTGGGATGCAAGGTGGTGGGCAATATGCATTTCATCAAGGAATGTTCCTTACATTACTATTAGTGATAATTAAAGCACCAGCTAAGGTAAATACAATTCTAATATTGTTTCGTCAGCTAGAGTTTATTAGCTTCAAACAATACCTCAGTCACACAAAAAAGGATTATTGCATATAATCTTACAGCAAGTCGTGTAAGTCATGATGATGTAGAAATCTCTGACATCATTGTGCACGCTCGTCGACTGGCCGTGTGCACAGCACTCTGTATGTTGCAGCTGAGTGTGGGAGTTTACTGCTGCTATGACAAAGACAAGGACTGACAAGTCTTACAGCATGACCTCCCTCCTGTCCCACCATGCTCAACCATCCTTTCAGCTTCTACCACATTAGAGCCCACTCACACAATCACAACGCTGCACGGCGAGAGTCGATCCAAAAAGCATTTGAGCCTGAGTGTAGAGTAAGGATACCTCGCATACAAGATACAATATCATTAACGAGTACTCGGGGAACTTTATGTTGAGTGAACGAGACACACACCCATTTTCTCAGTCATCCCCGTTGACACAAACAAACAATGGATTTCTACTCTACTCAGAAGCTATCAGGACTGGAGAAAGGACATGCTATTGCTAACTCATGCATGTGGCAAAATGAATTATACACATCGCTCTGCTGGGTAAAAATGTCAGCTACTGTGCTCAGTTGTACGTTTTCTTAGACACTATTTTCATCCCATTAGTGCCATTTCACAAAGGCCATTATTTAGGAGTGCAACTCAGCCCTGCTTATCTAATAAATAAAAAGTACAAGTAAAGCATGACAAGTAAATGGACTGACGCAGTGTAAAATGAAAACGGCTAACAATAATAAATAGAGCTGAATGTTGTTTGTATAGGATGTGGTTGCACAATGTAAGATGGGCATTCCTCTGGTGGGAGTCAGTGGGCGGTAGAGGTAATGTAGAAACTGTTTCCTTTAGAACTGGAGAATATGTTCAAGAATAAAATGAAACAAATTAATTTGAACGAGCCCGTTCATATGTAGGGAAATTCAAAGAGTTTTACAAATACAGGAAATTAGATTCAAATTTTAAAAAATTCAATTAAGTTTGAGCACTTCATAAAAAGAATCGATAAAGCTATATTTTAAAAAAATTAAGCGAGTAAATAAAACAAACAAAAACAACAACAACAGATATTCACATTTACAGAAATCTGGCATCAAGCAACATTGTTTTTAGTCTTGATTTAAGGGAACCAACAGTTTTTGCACATTTCAGATTTTTAGGTTGTTGAGGTGGCATGGTGGCGCAGTTGGTAGAGCTGCTGCCGCTCAGCGAGCAGGTCGCCGGTTCAAATCCGTGACGGGGGGCCTTTCTGGATGAAGTTTGCATGTTTTCTCCGTGCATGGGTGGGTCTTGTCTGGGCACTCCGTTTCCTTTCACAGACCAAAAACATGCATGTTAGGCTGATTGGTAACTCTAAATTGTCCCTAGGTGTGAGTGAGAGAGTGAATGGTTGTTTGTCTCGTTTGTCTCTATGTGTCCCTGTGACGGACTGGAGACCTGTCCAGGGTGTCCCCCGCCTTTCGCACAGTGATGACTGGATAAGGGCACCAGTGACCCAAAAAGGAAGAAGCTAGTAAAGATAATGAATGGATTGTAGTGTTGAGGAGCAAAAGAGTTGATCCTGGGAAATCTGAGTAAACCTGATGCCCTGGGGCACCTAAAAGGTTTGTAAGAGTTGTAACTCTGAGATGTGTGTATTTTTATAATAAGGAGCCAGTATAATGATTTAGGGACTGGTGTATAATTTTCTGGTGTTGGTATCTGTGTTTTTGAATACCTGGTTATGGTCAGAACTCTAGCAGCAACATTTTGAATGAGATACAGATGTCTGATTGATATTTTTTATTGACACTAATCTAAAAAAATCAAAAAACACAAAACCTGTTATCATAAATCCAATTATATGCAATTCCGACGTCCTAGTTCGATAGCAAAGGTAAACACCTCACCCCCAGAGATATATCCAGCTGCATGCGTGTCATCCGAGCAGATGAGGGTTTCTCCAGGACCCTGTCACTTTGTTGAAAAGATTTTGTAATTTACGTCGAAAGTCCAGTTGGTCCAATCCAAAACAGTAGTTTTCATTTTGGAAGATGTGTGAAAAGAATAGGAGCTGCTCCAATACACAGACAGAGAGCAAAAAAGCAGGAAGAAAAAAGGGAGCGGAAAGGAACGCCTGCGTTTCGTTAGAGAGTCGGGGGGGGGCAGTACATGTTTAACTGTATTACACACACATATACAGATATCATATGAACCCCAGCGTTCTCTGCCTCTTTCATCCTTATAGATATGAATCTCATCAGGGAGGGCACATTAGGATACAATCATACATCAAACTCTCCTTCCAGGAGTGACTTTAAACTTCATCTCTCCCCAAGGAACAACATGTATGAAATTAATGTGAATTAACTCTAATACTACCATAAAACACAAATGATATTTCTTAACTGCCACTGTCAAATGAACCTTCTGAGGTATAAATCCTCCACTTTAATCTAGTTTTATTATTTTATGCTCAGTAATACTTTTAAAACTGATGACTTTCTTCAAATAATTGGCTAATGAGAGTATTTTGTTCAGTTTAAATTAACTGTAGAATGATTGCATGCATGGTACTGATGGATAATTGTTGATGGGGTCATAAATTCTCTGTGGTACACGAAAAGTTGAACATTAGTGCTATTTTATTTTTATAGGTTATTCATTTTTTTGTGCCAATTTACGCCATGGCCTATCCATCCTTTTGTGTTTTGTCAAGTTTGAATAAAAAAAAAAAAAGAAAGTTTTCTCTATTAAAAAAATGAGGGTTTCCTTTGATCAGATTACATGAGATTTTGATTCCTTCAAGTTGTTTTTTTATAGCACGGATAAGCAGCATTGTCTGTAAACATGCTCTAAATAAATGCACAATGCACTGTAAATGGTTGCGTGGTCGGAAGAGTCAGAACTTTTTTTCCTACTGTGTATTTGAACTCAGCATGATTCCAAACAAGCAAATAACCATGACTCACACAGACACACCAGAGTACTGACTGTATACATTTGTGAGACATGATTTACTGTGAAACCAACGCCACGACTGAGGATTACTGACTGTTTTTCATATTGTTCTTTGTGCGCCTCTCTAAAGGCAACTTCAGAAGTGATAATATTTGACTTATGCACCAAAAAGAATTGGGGTTAGGAACCACTAGGCTATGAAATGGCTTCCAGCATTATGACTGCTGTTTCATCACATAACAGAACGTGCAATGGCTTCCCTTTTTAATACTTTAGTCATTCTGTAGAGCCACACTGTGTGTACCTATGGAAAGAACGCGTTCATTGTAGCTGTCTGTGTGCATTTATGTGCATCTGGTGAGTTTGTTGATTCTCAGTTGCCATCTCACAGTCATACATGCACTCAAGACAGATAAGTTAGTTATTTCAGTCACCTGTCTGATCTGCTATGATCCTTTAGGACTGTACTTATATAGCGCCTTTCTATCTGATCAAGACGCTCAAAGCGCTTTACACTACAGTCTGTGCCCTCATTTACCCATTCATACAGAACTCTACTAGATCTATACAAAGAATAATCAGTGCTTTATCACATTCATACACTGATGGGACACACATCAGAGGCAATGATGGATTCAGTGTCTTGACTAGGGACACTTCGACATATGGCTACCGGTGGAATCGAACACCCAACTCTTGCATTGGAGGACGACTGCTGTAACCACTCAGCCACAGCCGCCCCTATCCTTTAACTTCCTTCATATGTTTTTTTTTTTTCTCCCATTGCACCTAACTTCATTTTGTTCCTGCTATAATGAATCAATTTAAATATGGCAGAAATGACTCCAAGACATTTCAACACCTGTAATAGCGCAACTCTTAGCTGACTGAGCCCGTGTTTGACATTGACTGAATTAGGTGGCAAATGATCCTCAATCAGATTTAATGGAGTGAATATGAATTAATACAACGCTCATTTTCAATAGCAAGCCTTGAGATCTGACATCTGCATCTCCTGCACCAAACCCATTTGGTCTTAACTGAATTATTCCGAGACCCTTATTGATATTGTATTTCCACCACAGAACGCTTATGTGTGTTTGTGTGTATGAATGAATTACTAAGATATTTTTGTACTCATACTGCCCCAATGTTTAAAGGCTCTGTTGTGAATTGATTTGTACATGACACTGTTTAAAGTTGCACCAACAAAAGTCAAAATAAATACTCAACCACATTTTCTTTACCCTCTCCTTTGCTTTCAGGATGTGAAGTCCACATTTTTCCAGTTTGGTGCCTCCATCCAGCAGGAGGCTTTACTAATGCTGAACATCATGGAGGAGTATGACTGGCACGTCTTCTCCATTGTCACATCCAAGTTCCCCGGCTACCAGGAGTTCATCAACATCCTAAAAACTACTGTTGACAACAGGTGGGACCAGTTACTTTGCTCCTACTCAGTAATTATTTAGGAAGAGTGCTAAAAACAGAACTCAAACTGAGAAAGCCAATTAATTGCCAAGGAAAAACAATAGACGTCGTGCCTGCTACATCCATGCTAGCAACTACATTAAAGCAAGTCAAAGTTTATTTCTATAGCACATTAAAGACATAAATTATATAAAGTACTATATCAGCAATAAATATGACGTTCAATCAAAACATAAAAAACCCCAAATAATTTTTTTAAATAATTTTAAAGATTTTTTTTTTCCAACTAGGAATAAAACACAGTGAAAATAAATAGGTTTGAAGTAAAATGACTGATAAAGAAATATATTATAATATATATAATATATTATAATATATATAATTGCTCTATAAAGAAATACTGTTAGACAGAACGACAACTAAAACACTCTCTCATCTCTATTGTTGAGTCTGGATCTGGTAATGTCCAAAAGCAATTGATTTAATTTTCTTGGAGTGTTTTGTTTCAACTCAAAAGTAGGATCTTTTTTTTTTTTTTAAATATATGTTGATAGTAGTTGACTTGATCACCTCACCGCCTAACTTTAGAAAGTCAAAGCAAACTCATTAGTCCTGACCTTTAAAACAATATGATTGACCATATTTATTGCACATTGCTATGATGTTTGTGTGTACTAAATTATACTGTTAACATGGAGGGGAAAAAAGATCAACAAATTTAGAGAGAACACATTTTAAAAGTAAAGGATCCAAACACTTGTCGGAGCAAAAATTGACAATCTGACAATTGTTTTCCCTAATTGATTAAATAATGATTAAAACATGCTCTATCCAACAAAGTTAAGTCAGGTTCTCTGGTCATTTTCTTTTTGTTGAAACGTTGCATCTTTCATCCCAAAGACTTCATCGGTCCGAGGAGCCACAACAAACTCAGTCTTATAAATAGCACCTTCACAAAGTGGGTCAACCAGTTTGATGGCGCTAAGATGGTTTCTGGAGTCCATCCTCTCCCCCGCTGACTCATTTGTGGTAGTCATGGCAAAAGTGGTTCAAAATGAAACGTTTCAACAAAAATAAACTGCCCAGAGGACCTGACTTAACTTTGTTGGATTTTTCTACCTGGATTACTGAGCAGGACAAATCATGATAAAGTTCAGCCCTAGCCCTATAGTTAACATATTTTGCTAACCTATGACCTTTTTATTTAATCAGCTGTTTAAAAATTATGCAGTATATATATATATTTTTCTTATCATTGCAAAACTAATATAAATATATACAGGTACATTTAAAAAGCTGGTTCCTAACATCTAAAGTGACTTTTCATCAGATCTAAATATTACTGAATGTCCTTTTTGTGTTCATTTAATATCTGTTCAAGAGTGCCATTTAATCTCCGGGTGCCTAAGGAAATAATTAAAGTGCTTTGTGCAATTTAATAGATTTAGTTGTGGGTACATTACCAGTTTCAGCTTGACATACATAAAGTACCACTCTATAGAGATTTGGAATCACATCATTTAAATTACTTTGCCAGCCATAGTTCATTAATATATGTATCCACCGTAAAGATCTGTGATTTTTTTTTTTTTTTTTTTTTTTTTTGCATTTGCTCATGTGTCTTATGTGCCTGTTTCACTAGTTGAGAATGTGAGTATCTCACAAAGTTCACGATCAGAAATGCACCATGTTCTATAGAGAGAAAAAGGGTTGTGCTGTGCTGTTTCTGATTGCAAGCCTCCGAGCACTGTCGCTCGGAACTGACGAGTGCAGATACAGTATGTCTGATTATAGTATGAGTCCCTGGAACTAAAATGTTTCAATCTCAGACACTGCAGAACGTCTGTTTTCTTTCAGAGCATAGTGGTTTTCCTGTTTGTAAGTAGGGATATGTTTTTAATATGTATTCCAAAATGGTCTTTTAACTTAATTACATCAGTTCATGATTTTTATCACCCTTGGTTTGTTGTTTTCCCAGCTTAGTCAATGACTTCCTGTGTGACTTTGTTTCACTGTCTTTCTAATATTGCCTGTTGGGGCTTGTAAACCTCGCACAACGGGAAAAGAGCAAGTCCCAAATAGCTCTCATGTTACACTTTGTGCCCATTGTGGGATCTTTACATGCAGGTTAACAGCTTTGTAATACTCACTTCCTCAGTCCCTGTACTGTGTGCGTCCATTTTTATGCCTCGTTTTGCTACTAGTTTCTAGCAAGCGCTAACTGATAGCACAGAGAAGCACAGTAATTTTATTTGTTCTTGCTGCTTAAAAATGCTTAAAAATCATTATAATTCTTTTTTATATACTAGTTTTTAGCCTGACCTACTTCAGCTAACAGTCATCAAAGCTAAACAAGTAGCACAGTGATGTCCCCGGTCACTGACAGATATAGGGAATGTTTGTAGTTACCAAAGTGAGGAATTTTCTGGACTGGAATTGAACAGGGAATACAAGTACATTTACACTTTAACCTTTTATAAGTTACACTTTGGATAAGAATAGAGAAAGCTTTTTTTTTTTATCATTTTGTTCGAGTACAGACTAACAGATACTGTCAAGTGGAGGGAGCAATTATCCACAAGTAAATGCCACGGCTGAGCCAGGGGGTGGTCAGTGGTGGCCTTAGCCACTATAGATTAATCTTCAGCCCTTTAAGCATTTGAGGAAACAAAGGAAGATTAACACAAATAGTTGGGGGGACCGGTTTCCATATGGTGGTGGCCATCATGGATTTTGACTTCGCAACCCAATTTTTGAGACCATTTTTTTATTTAGATGCAAAAATGGAAGTCAGCACACTGCTTATTTTTCAAATTATCCAGCTCACAAGTTGGAAGAACATATTGGTGGCAGCCATCTTGGATTTTTAAAGTGGCAACCCAATTTTGATAGGAGCTTCGTGTCTAGATGCAGCCATAAACAAAA